CGGATGTTTATAGACAACTGAACAATGGCCGCATGTTTAGCTAGAGAATGTGGTTTGTATGGTGCAATGCACTGCACGGCTCAAACTATCACGTAAAATGAGTTTGATTTGTTAACTCGGTGTTAAGGAACAGTGCCACTTCTTTACGCTGGAAATGTATCTCTTTTTTTGTTTCTTTTTGTTTCAACCCTTTATATTGATTTGATCCAGTTGCTTTTCCGCAGCAGTAGCGAATGGTAGTTTCGAGGACTCCCACAGCGTTGAGTCTACTGCTTTAAAATCCGAAAACCGACCAATCCTAGTGATACTTTTCATCATTACCGTTGTTTTACTCAGAGTAATGCAAGGAACCATAGACACAGGAAAATGTTCCTTTAATATTGCGATTTCCTCTTTTGCCGGTTCGAGTTTGGCCTTATTTTAATTTCTCCACCACAATAGTTTCAAACTTGACATGTATAACACATACTTCTGTCGCTCACAACGATACCTCAGAGCTCCTCTACCTCCTTTGCTCTAAAAGGAAAAAGCTCAGACTGTGAAAAACTCGAAAGAAATGCGAGATTTGGTGCCTTATGACAGAAACATTCGAAAGCCAGTGGAAACAGACGATATTTCAAGATAGCTAAAACTTTTTTGCGACACCAATGTTTGGCTTCTGGCTTGTGCAAAATCGCAAATAGAATTGAAGTATTTAGACCAAGTATTGGATGTCATTTGAGACAATTTTAAATTTTATTTCTTTTCCAAATGCGTTGAGATTTGAAGCTTGTCACTGATAACTTTTAATTTAATATTTGGGTATAAAGGATAACTTGAAGATTAAAATGACATCGCAGCGTTTCTTCCCGCGCACTCGAATTCTTTAAAAATTAAACTTTTCTAACAACAACTGAACCAAAGAGCTCTTAAAAGACCCACAACAGAATTATCATTTTGTCTAATTGAAGATAATTCTAGAACCTGAGATTTTTTCAGTTTTATGTGTTTTTCTTATTTAGTGACCATGTTTATATTTGCATTCAATGACGTATTTTTGAAGTATGTTTAAATTGCTCCATGATGTAAATTGTGACGTGTGTTTTGTTATAATTACCTCAACAACACGCATTTTGCTACATCCGTCGAGTCCTCCTTGAATTCTGGTCACTTCAAAAGGATCTAGGTTCTTTTCTTTACGTTACTGAAAAAAATAAAAAAACAAAATAAGGAATGATCTTGTCATGGCACAAATGTTTAGAGCCATCTTAAATACGTTTGGTATTCAGGAAGTTTTACACGCCTTGAATAATCGAATCTTGATAATGCTAGGTCTACGGTCGGTTTCAAGAGTAAACTCGTTGCTAAGGTAACCTATTGATGAAGTAATTTTTATCAACTATTTTCTCCTCATAACATATTCACCATCAATGAACTTTAAAAAATAACTTTAAGCCTGTTCCAGGGTGATCAGTTGAAGGGATGAGCGAAAAAGCGGGGTAAAACGAATGACAAAAAATGACGGAGAACTAAGAAGAGCGAAGGAGGGTACCTCGTCTCTTTCCCTTCGCCCCAAATTTGTCACTGCTTGTCACGCCTTTGTGTTTCAACGCACTCCTGTGCCAGGAGTGTGGCACAGGCTGGGTATTATTGGGTATAATTCATGGTACTCGAAGAAAATAGACAATGATACAAACTTAGTATTATTGCCTCATTCCTTTTTTAACAGCTGCCTCCATAACCCTAACTCCAACCACAAGTGTCCTGTCATCGGGTGTTAATTTCACTTCGCCCACGGAAACAGTTGCCTCCATGACCCCAATGCTAACAACAAGTGTTATGTCATCAAGAGTTAACTCCACTTCACCCACGGAAACAGCTGCCTACATAACCCCAGCGCTAACAACAAGTGTCATGTCATCAAGTGTCAACTCCACTTCTCCCACGGAAAGTCATAACATCACTTCGTTTCAAGTGATGATTGAATTCGTAGATATCACTTGGAATGATAAATTTCTGAATAAAACAAGCGATCAATACAAGAGCCTGGATTCTAACGTAACCGAGGCTGTAAAAGATGCACTCAGAGTTGAAAATGTGAACTCGACTGTCCATGTTATCGAGTTCAAACCCGGAAGCGTGTTGGGGTTTTTCAACATCACAGCAATGAAACCAGAAACAGAAGTCAAGGCGGCCCTAAGAAGGCAAATGAAGAACGGTACCATTGGTGATTTTAATGTATCAAAGACGCTGTTTTCTGGAAGTTTGTTTGATGTTGTCATTAAACTTAAGAAGGAATGCAATTATACTCATGCGTCAAATGTGAAACATGAGGTGGAAAGAGTGAAACGTGAGGTGGAAAATGTGTTACCTGGGAACGAAACGGCGACATTACAGAAAGTCATATGCCCAAAACCTGGTAACGTCACTATAGTAACCTTTCGCCTTCAAGTAGAGGATGCTTCTTCGAATAACCCCGACAAGGAACTTCAAGGTTTAAAAGCGAGCGTTGAGCGTGGCCAACTAGGAAACTTTTCGTTAATTCCAGAATGGCAAGCTTACATCCCTGGGGAGAAACAGTTTTTGGTTTCTTTTAAGCTAACAAAGCCTTCTGAAAATAGGAGCGTGACAATCAAGGACCTAGAAGAGGCTATCAAGGATATTTTCAAACTGAATGACAGGGACTACAGATACGTCACAGTTGATTTGATGAGTGACAATAAAACGGCGGTTGTTAAAGTCGGTATGAAGACAGTCGCCATTGACAATCCAGTAATGAACCCTTTGGATCCACTAGAGAAAAAAGTCAAGACGGGTAAAATTGGAAACACTACTGTGCTAGAAAAATCATTTGAAGCCTCCGTGAACCCCAGCACACTAACACAAAAAGTATTTCAAGTAGAGTTTCGACTTAACATGTCCGACTGCAATCTGAACATTAATCGTGAGAATGCTTCCAAAGCCGTCAACGATTACATACGCAATGGATTGAAAGAATACAAAAGCTTCCTGAAAGCTGACTTCCTGCGTGATAAACTCAGCTGTCAAAATGGGTCTCGCTATAAAAAACAGCTCTTTATACATGGAGCCTTTTTAGTGTATGTACATCCGTCTGCTTCAGAATTACGTAACCAGTTTAACCCATACTTACTCAAGTGCGGCAGAAATGCAGAGGGAGCAACCTATGATTGGGGAATAAGGGTAACTCCTCTTACACCAACTCCAACCCAAACCAAAATAGGAGAGGGAATTCGAATGGTCTGCCCCAATAAACACAAAAATGAACCTACGTCAGAGCCCACAGCAGCCATCACTGTGACAGAAGGGTCAACATTTCCGACTTCTCCCAGCACAGAGGTACCAGTGTTAGATCCGAGTCTTTATGTCAAAGTGAGACTGGGTATCACTTGGGGAGAGTTTTGCTCCAAACTGGAGCACAGTCTAAAACAAAAAATAGCTTGGAACTTGTTCGACAAGAATGGTACGAAAATATCTCCCGACAGGATTATTTTCATCAACGTCGAGAAAAACTGCGCGGATCCAAGCAAGAAGGACGAGCAAGCAGAAGTGTGGTTCTACGTATCAAAAGTAGACTCCAATAAGCTGCACAAATGTCTCACACTAAAGGCTTACAAAGTACTGAAAATGTTCGTGGATAATGGAAATACCAAGCCTCTTGGACAAGATTTTGAGGGAAAGGTAAAGATTACTTTTCTTTGTTACTCACAAATTGTTTTCCCCTTCTAGTTTCAACGCCCATGTTAGTTTGTTTGTCCATAACATCGTCTGCTTACACCCTTGTCTATGTTGCTGACCATCTTACTGCATGTCTGTCTGTCTGTCTGTCTGTCTATGGTTCCTTGACTCGAACTCTTGTTTCCCATACTTTAATCGTTTCCTCAATGAACTAGGCATAAATTTAGTTAATGCAACCTAACGTAACAATAAGACAAACGAAGAAAAAGGCTGAAGAAAACCACAATCTGCGATAAAGTTTACACTGTATAGAGCTTGAATTTCAGTTGTTTAATAACAATAAGAATATACTCAAAGCGTTAATGGGCAGAATTGGTGTCCAGATATCAAGGAACAGATTGAGAATTTTAAAGGTATGGAGATTTTTTTTTCATTGAAACTGTGACCACCTCTTGATTTCAAGACTGAGGTGTTATATGTTTCAAATAATTTTAGGTTATTCACGTAGATCTGGCTGGTGAGGATGCTTCCAAACACAAATCTAAATACGATTCTGGTGATCTTTCATTACTGGCCATTATCCTTATCGCCGTCGCATGCGCAGTTGGTCTTCTCTTATTGACAATAGCATGCTGTTGTGTGAGTATATCAGCACCATTTTCAGTTTCATGAATGAGGAATATGAACATTTTGATGCGAGGGCAAGATTTATGGAAATATGTGTGCTTTCTGTGTTGCAAAACTTGAAGAAGTAGACAGGAACTCTTGGAAAGGAGACATAATGGAGGATGCTTATTTAAGATAAGAATGAATAAATACGGAATAGGATAGAAGGAGTGGAAATGCAAAATAATAGAATAAAAATTGGACGAGTCAGTGACAGCCTATCCATCTGTTGAGCAGGATAAATCTGCTAGGGAAGATTTTGCTAATCTTAATACTCCAGTAGCAAACTATTCACAACAATTTTATTTGTAACATTTCTCAGCTATTCTGTTGTGGTGGAAAAAGGCGAAGAAAACAGAAAGAGGAAGATTCGCATCCAATGCACGTGTTAATTGACGCGAATGGTGTAGATGTACATGGTGATATGGGAAAAAATGATGATGATGACGATGAAAAGAAGAAGCGAAAAGCGAATAAGGAAAAGAAGAAAAAAGACAAAGGGAAAAAGAAAAAGAAAGAGAAAGAGAAAGAGAAAGAGAAAGACGGAACTGATGGCGGAAACGAAGGTGCTCATAACAAAGGAAATGAGGTATACCATAAATAATCTTTTGAGGTTCTGAATAGGAAGCTTATACCGTCCGCCGGTCTAAATTTATTTAGTTCCAACTTTCTCATTTTTTGTTTTAAAGAATGTTTATGAATAACTCTTCATCTTACTTATACTTCGTTACTAACGGTTTCTTGATGTGCAGGTGTGAGCACGAGCTAAATAATACAAGCAGATACATTTTTCTCCTGATTCTTGGCCATTCGTCTCTGTCGCTTTGCAGTGATTATTGAGCGACGTTATCACCACCTGCAGCAGAATGTGAGCGCGCGCACGAGTTTAATTCATTCCAGAGTACGTGATCCTTGGTGGCTTGATTTAAAGAGTCAGTGCAAGATCGAGTTCTGATCATTCAGACACGTCGCTGGGTGAACTTGCTTCTTTTAGCAGTAGTGATAGGAACTGCCGAAACGGGTTATACAGCGCTGTGCCATTTCAAAGAGAATGACCGAAAAAAGTGCTGATAATTCCTCTTATCAGCTGACTAATTTACTAATAGTCAGAGTTATTTTTACAACAGGGAGAAGGTAAGGAGGCAGGTGGAAAGGAAAATGTCGTATCTTATGAAAACCCAGCTTACCTTACAATTAATAACAATGGGGATGGGAATGAGTGTAATTTAAATAACTCAGCAGCTGGTCCAGCTCCTGTCATTGTCACTAGCCCAGCTCCTGACGCCGATGAAACTTTAGGAGACAACAGTGGCATTAGCCAACCAAAAACCAGCCAGGCTTCTGATACAGCTTCATCTGCTTCCGAGGGCTCCCGTAGAGGATCGGCAAATATTGGGGGAGAGGTACGTTCAAAATATATCTTTAAGTGAGGATAATCATTTATGCCTTTTATCAGCTGTGGGATGAACGAGCCCAATTTTTTCCCTCCGATGCATCTCGCAGTAAGTGTGATTTATTTGTACCAGGAACAAGGCAGAGGTTCCAAGAGATCGAGCCCAGCTACTTTACGCCATAGTGATGCTCAATTCAAAGATCCCGGTAGGAGACGTTCTTCTGCTTACTCCACCCTTGACGATGAGGACATACCGCTAACACATAAGACTGGCACCGTTGGGATTGTGGCTTTGGCGATAAGAAACAGGAATGAAAAGAAGAAAGAGGCCGAATTCAAGGTTACAAGTACTCAAAGTTAACCATAAACTACAACTGCTGCTAATACAGTTTAATTCGAAGTATTTTTGCTTTAAAATCTGAACTACCGCCGTAACATGCTTCACCAAACCAGTCAGAATTTTCAATCTGCTTTTTCTAAAGAGAGATATCGTATGTTAGTCTATTTGAAAAAAATTGTTTCGTGGATTCAAAATTTTAGATTTAGTGTCATTCATTTCTTTAACGCAACCATTGCTTCTCTTTAATAAAATTATAAGACTCTTCATGTATATGTAACGAAAATTTTTATCCAAACCTTGTCATGTATCCTTATTAAGCCGTTTTCATCATCTATCTAATAACAATAATATCATCTATCTAATAACAATATTGCGGACCTATGTCTTTTCAAGAACCTAAGCAAAGACGTACCTGAAGTGGAAGTGAACTACCCTGCTTGTACTCAGAGTAAAAACAGATCACCTGATGTACTGCCAGGTAAGGATTCTCCAGCTTTACCAAGAAAATATAGTAATTTTTTTTTTGTTGTTGTTTTTTTATCATTTAATAGGATAAGATAAACCAATTGACATTTACTGACTTCCGTTTCAGCTCCTAAGACCAGAGTAAAATTATCTTCAAACCCAGATTACATAAATGCTAACTGGATCAGGGTATTTACAGTTGTTGTATACATTTCTTCACATTTTCGCTTGATTTCACGTACCAATGATAGATCTATGACATAATACTCTTTTGCATTCCTGAACAGGATCACAAGGGTCAGCGGTGTTACATCGCTACCCAGCATCCTTTGCACGAGACAGTGGAAGACTTCTGGCGAATGGTTTGGGAGCAGGAGTCTCGCTTGGTTGTCATGGTAAACGAGGAAGAGAAAGAAAAACCGGTACTTTTATTCTGCTTTTATGTTTTAATTCTTCTCGCGCCTAAGAGTGACTAGCATCTAATTTCTGCTTACGATACCACCCCTAAATTACACATTTAGGCCAGGAGAGTAAAGGAAATGATCACCAACTAAAAAGCTCTTGTTTTTTTAACAAATTCTTCTTTACAGCACCTTAGGAATGTATAAAGAACAGAACGGAGAATATGCATGCTGATGCAAGGGTGTAAAGGGTTAAACATTTGAGATTACGGTTCTTTCCTTTGTTATTTCTGCACGCGCTAGGCGGAATTCATGGATTATTTACCAAGGGGAGAAGGAAGTGCAAAGAGCTTTGGTGGTATTGAGGTTACAGTCAAGCAAATCACGAAGAAAGCAGATTATACTGTAACTATTTTGAACATTGCAGACAGCAAGGTGATTATGGTTGTGAATAAAGAGTCTTATGAGGCCTAGAGCCTCTCGCTGGATAAATCATTTGATGTACTTTTTGTACAGAAACATATGCGAAGTACGTTAATCACTTGCGCACTTGTGTTTGATTCTTTGCGATTTTTCAAGTTTTGATTGATGCGCGCGCTGAGATATAGAATGCGTGAAACGCGCTTTTAGCTAGTGGTGTTCTGTGAAGATGGTGTGGTGTGCATCATGTGAATATTACACCTATCTTTATTGGAGACCTAATGAAACGGTTCTTCGAATGGCCAGTGGCCTGACAAAGTCTTGACTTAGAATTTCAAATGAGTTAGATTAAAAAATTTTTGTTGTTATTCTATTTTACTTTCCACTACAGAAACCTTCTTCCTCACGCGAGGTGTCGCACATGAAATTCACCTCATGGAAGGAGCGTGCATTGCCCAACGTGGCTCTGTTTGTTGGGTTCGTGACTGCCACGCGAGAAGCGAGGAAGAAATATGAAAGCAGCAAGGCTCCAACCATTGTACATTGCAGGTCGGTGTTCGCGTGCTTGTTATAAACAGCACACAATAACTTCCTTCTTTATTTTTTTGTATCGTTTCCTACCAAGGTTAAAAGTAACGCAAACCCGTTCATGTTGTACCCCCGATCCTTTGTCCTGATTTTGCTCCTGTGTTTTTTCTGTTCCCGTTGAGTTCAGTGGGAGCGAATGGGCGGAGATAGCTTTCATGAATACAAGGATGCAAGTGGATAACCTGCAATCAATTTGTAGCGACCTGAGGAGACCTCCCTCCCTCCCTATCAAGCGCCCAACCATCTTCTATGGAATATTTATTTTTTTCTTATTAATGTAACGATTTACAACCGTCTCCCTCAGTGATGGCCTGGGCTTTACTGGTGTGTATATTGCTGTGGATATCGGCGTTAAAAGTCACGAAGAAAGTAAAACATCAGTCGTTGATGTGTTTGAGTTGTCCAAAAACCTCAGACAGGACCGCCATGGTATCGTCTGTACCCTGGAACATTATAACTTTATCTACCAGGTATTATATAATA